ATCTCCTTTTCTCAATTATCTTTACTGTCTCCTTTTCTCCATTATCTTTACTGTCTCCTTTTCTCCATTATCTTTACTGTCTCCTCAGTTATCTTTACTGTCTCCTTTTCTCAATTATCTTTACTGTCTCCTTTTCTCCATTATCTTTGCTGTCTCCTTTTCTCTATCATCTTTCTTGTCTCCTTTTTCTCCATTACCTCATTATCTTTACTGTCTTTAATGTCTCATTATCTTTACTGTCTCCTTTATCTCCATTATCTTTACTGTCTTTAATGTCTCATTATCTTTACTGTCTCCTTTATCTCCATTATCTTTACTGTCTCCTTTATCTCCATTATCTTTACTGTCTCCTTTATCTCCATTATGTCCATCATATTTACTGTCTCCTTTTTCTCCACTATCTCCACTATTGCGTTTGTTTCATTATCTTTATTGTCTCCTTTCTCTTTAATGTCTCCTTTATCTTTATTGTTTCCATTATTTTTATTGACTCCATTATCTTTGTTTCCATTATCTTTAATGTCTCCTTTATTTTTATTGTCTCCCTTCGCTTTACTGTCTCCTTTATCTTTACTGTTTCCTTTATCTTTATTGTCTCCTTTATCTTTATTGTCTCCTTTCTCTTTATTGTCTCCTTTATCTTTATTGTCTCCTTTATCTGTACTGTCTCCTTTATTGTCTCCACTATCTTACTAACATCTTTGCTGTCTCCTTTTCTGTACTATCTCCCTCATCTCAACTGTCTCCATTGTCTTCACTGTCTCCTTTTCTTTAATGTCTCCTTTTCTTTACTGTCTCCTTTTTTTTATTGTCTCCTTTATCTTTACTGTTTCCTTCTCTCTACTGTCTCCTCTCTACTGTCTCCTTTTCTTTACTGTCTCCTTTTCTTCACTGTCTCCTTTTCTTCACTGTCTCCTCTTCTTCACTGTCTCCTATACTGTCTCCTTTCCTTCACTGTCTCCTTTTCTTTACTGTCCCCTCATCTCAATTGTCTCCATTGCCAAACTGAATTAATAAAATGAATGAATGAATGAATAAATAAATTAAATAAATAAATAAATTAATTAATTAATTAATTAATTAATTAATTAATTAAAAAACTAACAAACAAAACAATGAATTGACGACTCACTTAAACAATTAATTAGCTGAAGAAGCAGCCAAATAACTGCTGAAATAAACCCCAAATCAGCGAAACAAAAAACCCCAAACAAACACTCTTAAACCCTAAATCAGCGACTAAGCCCTTTTTCTCAAACCCTAAATCCGCGACTAAGCCCTCCCCTAAACCCTAAATCCGGGACTAACCCCTCCCCTAAACCCTAAATCCGGGCCTAGCCCCTCCCTAAACCCTAAATCCGCGCCTAACCCCTCCCTAAACCCTAAATCCGCGCCTAACCCCTCCCGTAAACCCTAAATCAGGGTTTAGGGTTTTCGCCGCAGGCCCGAACCGGAGCGACTCCGTCTGCCAAACCTGCGGGAACTCGCTGCTGACCTGCGGGGGCCACTGGGGCCACTGCAACTTAACTGTCCCCGTTTTTCATTGCGGGTTTTTATTTTTAAAACATTTAATTCAAATTCTTTATTGCATTTGCAAAAAGTGTGGGGCCCTGCTGCTGTCTCCGGAGGCGCGGGCGCGCGCGCTGCAGCGCATGCGCCGCCACCGCGAAGACCCCATTGCCAAAAAGGCCCTTTTCCGGAAAACTGTCTCCGAATGCAAAAGAGTCTCCAAGTGTCTCCTTTGCGAGGCCCCTCAGGGCGTGCTGCGCAAAGTCGTGCGGCCAGTGCTGGACCAGTTCATGAAGCTGCGGCACGTCACGAAGCAGCCGCGCGCTGCTGCTGCTGCTGCTGCTGCTGCAGCCGGCGGCACTGCAGCAGCAGCAGCAGCAGCAGCAGCAGCGCAGCAGGAAGAGGACCTCCACCCGCTGCGCGTGCAGCAGCTGCTGCAGCGGCTGCGGCCCGGAGACTGCGAAGTGCTGGACGTGGTGGCCCCCGCGAAGCTGCTGCTGCAGCAGCTGCCAGTCCCCCCGAACTGTCTCCGTCCTTCTGTCTCCGTCGGAGAACAAGGCTCCAACGAAGACGATTTGACCTGTCTCCTCGCGGAGATAGTGGAGATAAACGGGGCCCTGAGGGGCCTCGCAGCAGCAGGGGGCCCCCCGGGGCAGCTGCTGGGGCTGTGGGAGCTGCTGCAGCTGCAGGTGACTTTGCTGCTGAACTCGGAGGCCCCTGCAGCGCAGCAGCTGGTGGGCCGCAGCAGCAGCAGCAGCAGCAGCAGCAGCAGACCCGCGCGGGGCCTCTGCCAGCGGCTGAAGGGCAAGGAGGGCCGCTTTCGCGGCAATCTCTCGGGGAAAAGAGTGGACTTTTCGGGGAGAACTGTCATTTCTCCAGACCCTAATGCGGAGATCTTTGAAGTCATTGTCCCCAAGTGGATGGCCAAGAGACTCTCCTTTCCGGAGACAGTTTGTCCCCTTTCTGCAGCAGCGCTTCGCGCTGCAGTGCTGCGCGGCTGCGACTCCTGGCCCGGCGCGCTGTACGTACACAAGCGCGACGGCAGCAAGTGCAGTCTCCGTTTCGCCAACAGGAGACACTTGGCGTCGCACTTGGAGACAGGAGACACTGTCGAGAGACACTTGAGAGACGGAGACATTATTCTTTTCAACAGACAACCATCTCTCCACCGACTCAGCCTCATGGCCTTCAAAGCCAGAGTCATGGAGGGGAGAACTCTGAGGTTTAATGAGAGTTGTTGTTCTCCTTTTAACGCGGATTTCGACGGAGACGAAATGAATCTCCATCTTCCGCAAACTCATGAAGCAAGAGCCGAGGCCTTGTGTCTCCTCGGAGTTGTCTCCAACTTGCAGACTCCGAAGAACGGAGACCCTCTGGTGGCGGCCACTCAGGACTTTCTGTCTTGTTGGTATTTGATAACTCACAAAGATTCTTTTTTTTCCAGAAAAGCTTTTTCCCAACTCTGTGCTGCATGCACCGATGCTGCTGCTGCAGTGCAGCTGCCGCCGCCCGCGCTGCTGCTGCCGCAGGAGCTCTGGACTGGGAAGCAGCTGCTGGCGGTGCTGCTGCGGCCCCACAGAGCTGCTGCTGCAGTCCTCAACTTCGAGACTCGAGAAAGGGACTTCGACCCCAACTGTCTCCTTCCAACTGTCCCCTTTTGCATGTGTCCCAACGACGCCTACGTCGTCGTCCGCCACTCCGAACTCCTCGCCGGTGCCATCGGAAAAAAAGTCCTCGGAGTCCGCTCCTCCTGCTCCTGCTGCTGCTGCTGCTGCTGCTGCTGCTGCTGCTGCTGCGGGGCTGCGCTGCTGCTGCGGGGACTTCTTGGCGCGGCTTTTGCGTTCTTTGGGGACTTTTGGGGCTTTTGGAACTTCTGGGGGCTCCTTTTGCTGCTCTTTGGAGACCTTTTGCTGCTGCTGCTTTGCTGCTCTTTTGGAGACCTTTTGCTGCTGCTTTGCTGCTCTTCTTGCTGCTCTTCTTGCTGCTCTTTTGGAGACCTTTTGCTGCTGCTTTGCTGCTCTTTTTGCTGCTCTTTTTGCTGCTCTTTTTGGAGTTTTCTGTTTGCGCTTTTGCGGCATTTGAGGGACTCTTTTTGGCGTTTTTACTTCGCACAACAAATGTTGTCTCCTCTGTCTCTCTTCTCCTTCCAAACTCTCTTCTTCTGCCTTTCTGTGTCTCCTTTTTGTCTCCTTTTTTGTCTCCTTTTTGTCTCCTTTTTGTCTCCTTTTTGTCTCCTTTTTGTCTCCTTTTTGTCTCTTATTCCTCTCCGTTTCAATCCCATCAATCTCATTTGTCTCCATCTGTCTCCTTACTCTGTCTCTTCTTCTATTTGTCTCTTTTCTATTTGTCTCTTCTTCTGTTTGTCTCTTCTTCTATCTGTCTCTTTTCTGCCTATTTCTGTTCTATCTGTCTCTTCTTGTCTCTGTCTCCTCCTGTCTCCTTTTGTCTCCTTTTGTCTCCTTTTATCTCTTCTGTCTCCTTTTATCTCTTTTGTCTCCTTTTATCTCTTTTGTCTCCTTTTATATCTTCCAGAACTCCAAACAGAATTCTTTAACTCCTCAATAAGAGAGACACTTCTTCCTCTGTCTCTGCTGCATGCATCTCTCAAAACCTCTAAAAAGTGTCTCCTTTTACTTCTTTCAGCCCTCCAAACACAATTCTTTCACCATCCAAAAGGAGACACTTCCCTGTCTCCTTCTGTCTCCTTTTGTCTCCTTTTGTCTCCTTTTCAAAACTCCAAACAGAATCTTTTTTACCACTTAAGAAGAGACACTTCCCTCTCTCTTTCTGCTGCGTGCACCTGTCTCCTTTTGTCTAAAAAGTGTCTCCTTTCACCTCTTTCAACCCTTTAAACACAGTTCTTTCAGCATTTAATAAAAGACACTTCCCTGTCTCCTTCTGTCTCCTTTTGTCTCCTTTTTAAAACTCCAAACAGAATTTCTTTTACCACTTAATAACAGACACTTCCCTCTCTCTCTCTCTGTTGCATGCACCTCTCAAAACCTCTAAAAAGTGTCTCCTTTCACCTTTTTCAGCCCTTTAAACACAGTTCTTTCTCCATTAAATAAAACACACTCCCCTGTCTCCTTCTGTCTCCTTTTGTCTCCTTTTCAGGACTCAAAACACGGTCTCTTTTACCACTTGATAAGAGACAACTCTTTCTCTCTCTCTGTTGCATGCACCTCTCTGCATCTCTAAAAACTGTCTCCTTTCACCTCTTTCAGCCCTTTAAACACAATTCTTTCACCATTAAATAAAAGACACTCCCCTATCTCCTTCTGTCTCCTTTTCTGTCTCCTTTTCTGTCTCCTTTCAGGACTCCAAACACGGTCTCTTTTACCACTTGATAAGAGACAACTCCCCCTCCCTGGCCGCTGCCTGCATGGCCCGCGTGGCCCGCGTGTGCGCGCGTTGGTTCTGCAGCTACGGCTTCACGCTGGGCCTCGACGATGTGTCTCCAAGTGTCTCCTTGGAGACAGCAAAGGAGACACTTTTGGCAGCAGCAGCAGCAGCGATCCAGCGGGAGACTTCGCTGTATTCGCGGGGCTGCATGCAGCCCCACCCGGGCTGCAGCCTCGAGGAGACTCTGGAGTTAAGAGTTAAAAAGATCTTAGATGATTTAAGAAACTCTGCTGGACAAGTTTGTAATAAACTACTGTCTCCTTTTAACAAACCCGGAATTATGTTCAAGTCCGGAGCTAAGGGGGCCTTAATTAATATTGCGCAGATGGTGGCTTGCGTGGGGCAGCAAAACGTGGGGGGGCGGAGAGTCTCCGCGGGATTTGGAGACAGGACTTTGCCGCTGTTCCGAAAGGAGACAGGAGACCCTCGCAGCAAAGGATTTGTCTCCAACTCTTTCTTTTCCGGACTGTCTCCCGACGAGTTCTTCTTCCACTCCATGTCCGGCAGAGAGGGACTCGTGGACACTGCAGTCAAGACCGCGGAGACAGGATACATGCAACGCAGACTCGTCAAGGTCCGAGGAGACACTTGGGACACTTGGGGACTTTTGGAGACACTTGGGGAGTTTTGGAGACAGTTGGGGACTTTGGGGAGTTTTGGAGACAGTTGGGGAGTTTTGGAGACAGTTGGGGAGTTTTGGAGACAGTTGGGGACTTTTGGGAGTTTTGGAGACAGTTGGGGAGTTTGGGGAGTTTTGGAGATTGGGGAGATAGGTGGAGATAGTTGGAAGTTGTTGGGGTTTTTTGGAGACAGTTGGGGACTTTTGGGGAGTTTTGGAGACAGTTGGGGACTTTTGGGGAGTTTTGGAGACTCGGGAGATAGGTGGAGGCTGTTGGGAGTTTTTGGAGACAGTTGGAGTTTTTTGGAGACAGTTGGAGATTGTTGGAGACTTTTTGGAGACAGTTGGAGATTGTTGGAGATAGTTGGAGATAGTTGGAAATGGTTTGGAGACAGTTGGAGATAGTTGGAGACAGTTGGAGATAGTTGGAGACAGTTGGAGATAGTTGGAGATAGTTTGGAGACAGTTGGAGGTTGTTTGGAGATAGCTGCCAGAGGAGACAGTTGGAGATAGTTTGGAGACAGTTGGAAGTAATTTGGAGACAGTTGGAGACAGTTGGAAATGGTTTGGAGACAGTTGGAGATAGTTTGGAGACAGTTGGAAATAGTTTGGAGACAGTTGGAAAGAGAGTTTCAGAAAGAAGACAGTTGGAGACAGTTTGAAGAGAAGAGAGACAGTTGGAGACAGTTGGAGACAGTTGGAGATAGTTTGGAGACATTTGGAAATAGTTTGGAGACAGTTGGAAATAATTTGGAGACAGTTGGAAAGCTTGTTTAAAAACGGAGACAGTTGGAGACAGTTTGAAGAGAAGAGAGACAGTTGGAGACAGTTTGGAATAGAGACAGTTGGAGACAGTTTGGAAAGGAGACAGAGAAGGAGACAGTTTGAAGAGAAGGCAGTTGGAGACAGTTTGGAAAGGAGACAGAGAAGGAGACAGTTCGAAGAGAAGAGAGACAGTTGGAGACAGTTTGGGGGGGAGGGAGACAGTTGGAGACAGTTCGAGAAGGAGACACAGAAGAAGGAGACAGAAGGAGACAGAGAAGGAGACAGATGAAGAGACAGAGAAGGAGACAGATAAAGAGATAGATAAGGAGACAGATAAAGAGACAGATAAAGAGACAGATAAAGAGACAGATAAAGAGACAGATAGAAGGACAGCTAAAGAGACAGAGGAGGAGACAGAGAAAGAGACAGATAAAGAGACAGATAAAGAGACAGATAAAGAGACAGATAAGGAAACAGAGAAGGAGACATAAAGAGACAGAAAGCAACGTAGATGAGGAAATAGATGGGAAGACAGAAAGGTGGGAGATGAGACAGAAAAGGAGACAGATAAGGAGACAGATAAGGAGACAGAAAAGGAGACAAATAAAGAGACAGATAAGGAGACAGTTCAAGAGACACCTAAAGAGACACCTGAAGAGACACTTAAAGAGACACCTATAGAGACACACAACAAGGCATAAAGAGACAGATGAAGAGACAGATGAAGAGACAGATGAAGAGACAGATGAAGAGACAGATGAAGAGACAGATGAAGCGACAGATGAAGAGACCCATAAAGAGACCCATAAAGAGACAGATAAAGAGACCCATAAAGAGACACCTAGAGGGACACCTAGTAAAGGGACCTATAAAGAGCCCCATAAAGAGCCCCATAAAGAGACACCTAAAGAGACACCTAAAGGGACACCTAAAGAGACTCCTAAAGAGACTCCTAAAGAGACACCTAGTAAAGAGACACCTAAAGAGCCCCATAAAGAGACACCTAAAGAGACCTAAAGAGCCCCATAAAGAGACACCTAAAGAGACCTAAAAAGGCCCCTAAAGAGCCGCCTAAAGAGCCCTAAAGCCCCGCTAACTCCCCGCTAAATCCCCCTAAAGAGCCCCAACGAAAGCAAGGAGACAGTTTTGTTGGCCGCAGGCTCTGGAGGACTTGTGCGTGAAGTACGACCACACAGTGCGCACCAGCGACGGGCAAGTGGTGCAGTTTCTCTACGGAGACGACGGGCTCAACCCGCTCCTCATGGAGACCAAAAGGGGCCCCGCAGACCTCCACAAAGTCTTCGCCCACATTTCCTCCCTCATCAAAGTCCCCTTTCTGCCCCACAGGCAGACCCGACAGGCCCTCCTCGCCCCCCCTCCCAACGGGGGCCCCTGGGGGGGGGCCCCCTGGGGGGCCCGG